TTTATTGTGCGTCACGATTGAATGAAAAGTTTCTATCACAAAATCAGATCGCACTGCTGTAGGCATATTCTGTGTCTTTTTGTGACTGCTTCAGATGCTAGTAAGTAATGTTGTTGAGTCGTTTTTTTTGTAAGTACTTGCATGCTCGCGTTTGAGAACTTTCAGTGTCAATATGTTTGTTGTTGTTCTCCGTAAATTTCATCCTTACTAAATTTTTCTATACGAACGTTGTCGCAGGTTGAACTTCGAAATTTGGAGGAACGTCCTGGCTCTGGCAGAGGACAAAAAGACAGAAGGAACCAACCCAACATCGACTGCTTAAAACTTAAACCTTAAAACTTCGAACCATTGAGCAAACGACTTGATTTGGGCCAATCATTTTTATTAAAGAATAATATGTTGAAGATGTATCGTCTTGCCATCATTCACAATCAACGATCAAAAAAAACTACTCGATAATAATTTTAATAACCTAAATATGACAACTTCGAGATGAGAGTAGTTGCAGTCAACAGACTGGGTGCATCACATTTCATAATCTGTGACACTGAGAATGAGATAAATTTAAATTCGCCTGAACTGTGTTTTCATAAATTATTTCGACTTTCGTGTTAAAGCAAAATAAAGCCAAACCAAATTGTAGGTCATTCGATATATATTCTTTCAAGATATCCGGTTGTGTTCGATAGTCCTACATAAATATTCGATCGATATATGTGCGTGTGTGTTTTTAGCTAGGATGTATGGAAACCGCAGCGTCGATCAAATTTTGACATGTTGGTTTATCGTGTTTCGTTTTTCAAATCTTTTTTTATGAGCTGGCTTGTTCGACCTACGTGCGTGATGTTTGCGATGAATGAATTAGCGTTGGTGAATTGTATATATGACATGAATTGGATGATGTATGTGGTTTTTTTGTTTGGTGTGTGTTTCTATGTGTGGTGTGTGTGTTTCTCTATGTAGTGTGTGTGTGTGTTTGTTATATGTGTGTTTGTAATAAGTGTGTGTGGCCGCGTGATGTCTGTTGTTTCTAGCGTATAATTTTTCACACAATGTCATTCACTATTATTTAGTAAGGTTGGTCAGGTAGTTGTTATCAACTCAAATTTATATTGGCTGGCAGTAGAACAAAAAATTTAAGGCGAATGCAGTTGAAGTTATCACGAGAAATACAACAAATTTATACCAATGATTGAATGATTGAATAAGTAAGTGAATGTGTGAACGAATGAAAGAATAAATGAATGAATTACAAAATGAATGAATAAGTGAGTGGGTGTGAGTGAGTGAGTGAGTGGGTGAGCGAGTGAGTGAGCGAGTGAGTGAGTGAGTGAGTGAGTGAGTGAGTGAGTGAGTGAGTGAGTGAGTGAGTGAGTGAGCGAGCGAGCGAGCGAGCGAGTGAGTGAGTGAGTGAGTGAGTGAGTGAGTGAGTGAGTGAGTGAGTGAGTGAGTGAGTGAGTGAGTGAGTGAGTGAGTGAGTGAGTGAGTGAGTGAGTGAGTGAGTGAGTGAGTGAGTGAGTGAGTGAGTGAGTGAGTGAGTGAGTGAGTGAGTGAGTGAGTGAGTGAGTGAGTGAGTGATCTAGTAAAGTAAGAAATAAGTGAATTAACGAATGTAGAACTCCTCCAGAAGACTGATAATTGCATTATGCTGGCAAAGCTGTTGGGTACGAAGAGTTTAAAGACGGTCAGACAGGTTGGAATGTTGGCTCCATAAGTTGATGCAGATGTAGCAGGATACTTTAAAGGAACGCTTTGAGGACCACTGAATGAAAGGTAGGCATCCAGAGCCTTGTAAAATCGTATTAATTTATTTTCATTCTCGTCAGTGCTAATTAATTAATTCCTTTATTTAGTTAGTTAAGTTTTTTTAACTAATAAACTGGTGGATATTTATGGGCGTTTTTATCTATTTATTCGTTTAAACTGTTAATTACCCAACATTATATATACTGTATTTTAGTAATAATGTAATAAATTATTCTAACCAGTAGTCTAGTATTTAAATGTAAAATTAACTGAGGCCCAAGATAGTATTTGTCAACCCAAACAAGCTAACCTTTGAAACTCCACACCGCACTCATTCAATTGGGGTTCGACTGACTAGAAATATCTAAGGCTTTTGTTTGTTTTTTTTGTGATTTACGGGACAGCGGCTCACAAAATGTTGCAATAATGTGCCTTGTATATATATGAAGGATTCATTTTGTTGATTTATTTTCTTTATTTTCTATTTTAAAAAGGTGGAATTTTCACAAAATCACTACCACCATCACCACCACCATCACCATCAAGACCTTCAAATAAGGTTTTTGTGACTCAGTTGGAAATAGGCTGCAAAAGTTTTGCTATGTTCGATCTTTCGAAGGAACCGTGTGATTGATGTAAGTTTCAACTGTCCAACATCTAGGAATAAATGATGTTTGTCCTTGCCACTCCAATGTGTGTCAGGTCAATTTGAAAGTCAGCAGCAACAACGTTCCCAATTGTAGATGAATTAGCGAGGAAAAAATTTACGGCTTTGATTTAATGACCCGTAAATTTTATTGCTACAAAAATTTTTAATAATATTAACATTTATTATTTATGTATCATAATTATACGTGTGTATGTTGTATGTGTGCGTGTGTTGTTCATGTGTGTATGTATGTGTGTGTGTTTGTTTGTGCGTGTGTGTGCGTGTGTGTGTTAGAAGAATAGTATGCAAACTAGTATAAATTAGGATGACACGTGTGATGGTACTGCCGTACTGACGTTGTACAACTCTGCATACGCAAACCTACAGAAAGATGTTCGAACTCATACGTGAATAGTAAATATTTATAGCGAAAGACAAACACACGAGCTGGCATATAAACATTTATAAACATTGCACACAGGCAAACACATAAAGATTCTCCTTCACAATATACTCACCGTGTCATAAATAAAAAGAAGGAAATGGCCAAATACACATACATACACGTCTACAAACACACAAACAAACATACAAATGCACATACATACACGTCTATAAACACACAAATAAACATTGGTATAAACATGCATACACATTCACAAATATATATATTTATATATATATGTATATATATATATATACATACATACAAATGTACATACATGCATACACATATACACACGCGCATATGTATGAAATTACGTATTTAGAATAGCACACACAAAAAATAAGCAGATGCTCGTTAGCACAATTAAACTCAAAGTGCATCAGAAACAAACTCAGACTCGCACGCTTACATGTAAAAACATTGTCACGGGCATCTACAAACGCAAACGTGCATGTGTTTTGTGTATAAATACTTTATAGTATTCAAACCTACGCCAACACGCACACACACAAATTGGTGCACGTATAATTAAACAAAAATCCACAAATGCATGCAAAAATACGCGGTTATTTATTTCTCCAGCACACAATCCATCTTAACCACGCACGCACAACCACACAAACTCAGTTTAAAAGAGAGATAGTGACAAAGACGTGATGAAATGCATTGAAGTGAGTGAGTCGCAAGAGAGAGAAGAGCCAGAGGAGAGATGAGACGATGTATGGATAAGAGGAGGAAAATATGAGCGCACTGATCGAATGCGTTGTAGGGATTGGCAATATTTCGTGGGACCAACTACTTCTTGACTACTTCTTAACTGTCATCTATATTTCATTTCATCTCCCTAACTTTTTCCCAACCAGCGCCCACAACTGAAGAAGAGGAAATTGACAGAAGAATAGTTAGTGTACGAGGAATAGTTGCATTGGTTAAAAAAATAAAACTTGCTAATGTATCAAGCAGCGAAACAAAGTTAAATAATTTAGAAACCTGTCTGATCTGAACACTGCAGCCTGCATGTATCAATGGAACATGGGCAGCAGTGGTCGAAATCAGACTTGAGGTACATAAAATGGGCTGCTGCAAGAAGTTGCTGGGAGAGAAAAAGATGTTGGGTACGAAGGGTTGCAGCGTGGAACCTATGAAAATAGATTGACGGCATAACAGAATGTGATGGGTGAACGCTGATTTTAATGAAGTGGCCAAAGGTAGGAGGAAGTTTTGGAAGTCGTCAAGAGAGTTGAACGCCTCAAGTTATTAAGAGATGCTTGATTGGTTAACAGACAAGTACAGACATGGTCCCACACAAACAGGCAACCACAAATTTAATCTGTTTTCCACAAAACACAAACAACAACAGCAGATAAAATACAAATATCGCAACATATCAAACGATTACAGCAATCACAACAACATGTACAACTAATCACTAACAAAAAATGCAAATTTATACAAATACATAGAATACAAAAACATAGAATACAAAAGCCTTAGATACAAAACATAAAATACATATACATAAAAACAAAAACATAGAATACAAATACATAGAATCCAAGTACAAAACGTAGATTGATTGATGGAAAATCCATTGATTGAACTTATCCTTTGACCTAATCAACTTTCAATTCGTCCATCTCTCTTGCAAATTTTTTTCTTTCATTCATTAATCTATTTATACATTCATTCATTCATTCGTTCGTTCGTTCATTCATTCATTCATTCACTCATTTATTCATTCATTCATTCATTCATTCATTCACTCATTCATTCATTCACTCATTCATTCATTCACTCACTCACTCACTCACTCGCTCACTCACTCACTCATTCATTCATTCATTCATTCACTCATTCATTCATTCATTTTTTCCGTTACATTCAGTGTTTATAAATTTTATTGACACTAAGTGTAGAATTCACTTGCATACGTTAAAACAATCTTGAAAACAATTTTCATGAAACAAACAAACACGCTCACATACAAGAATGTATTCACATATAAATACCTAGAGAAACACGCTTACACACACACACCAACATGGACACACATACACAAACAAACACACACATATATACACACAAACTTAGACATACCCAAGCACACACACACAAACATGCACATACACAGAAATGTACATTCAAACGTGAAATCAATCAATCCATCAGAAGACATCTCCAGGGATTTGCGAATTTGGTGCAGTCCATGTCAGGCATTGTCATTCTCTCCATACGTTCCTTCATTCTTTTATTCCTTTTCATTCCTTTTTTTAGTTATGTTTTTCAAATTATTCAATTTTGTATACGATCATACGTAAGTTAATTATACATTTACAAGTCATTCATCCACCCAATCAATCCATCCGTTTATTTATCTATTTATTCATTCATTTATCCATCATTCTATCCATTTATTCATTTTTATCAATCTGTCCATCCATCAATCAATCAATCTATCCATCTATCTATCTATCAATCAATCTATCTATCAATTCATTCATTCATTCACCCATCCATCTATCCATCCATCCATCCAACAACAACAACAACATTGCAGATTTATAACAGTCCAAAGATCATATGTTACAAATAGCAAACACACACGCACGCACAGCCATACTCACGCACACACACGCACGCACACACCACACACAATTTTCACTCAGTTATTCCCGCCTAGTTAATTATAATGAATGTAATTCAATCACTTCTTAGAAATTGATTTGGCGAGTTTGAAAGAATTATTAATATTTCCTTTCATTATCACTAAACATTCTTCGACTTTCATTTCGGAAGTTAACTCACATTCGCCTGCTCTCTAACAATTATTATTGAACGTTTAATATTAATATTATCAATTATTTTCAGACTGGTATATGTCTGTGTGAGCATCTCATAAATATATTATATATATATATATATAATAAAAAATAAATAAAATAAATAAAATAAAATTGATGTCCCCCCTTATTTTAAATAAAAATGATATAAGACTATAGGAATATAAACTTCGTACAGTTATGTTTGAAATGATAGAAAATCATAAAAAATGTTGAATATCAGAAGTGAGTTCATTCATTGAAATATAGAAATATGACGATGAAGAATATGAAGGCGATAAAACACACACACACAAATACACACACACACAAATACACACACACACAAATACACACACACACACACAAACACACCTATATACGCACGCAGACACGCACACAGACAACAACATTCAATGGCAAGCCAGCAAATGCCACAAAACAATAAAATTCCTAACTGCAAAGACTGAGAACTATTAACAAATTGAAGAAATTGTCTGTGTGTCTGTCTTTGGTAGGATTTGTGTGTGTGCATGTGTAGAGTTTTTGCATTAGCTTCTATCTCCTTAATGTACACATGAATTTGTATTCATAGTGTATGTGGCAGCATACTTGGGATGAATATGTTGTACAACTTTGAGCCCGGCCCAATGTAAATTGACTTTTTTTTGTACGGAAAAAATGTTTTGACGTTTTAGCGTATTTGAAATGAATTATTTAAAATGGAAATGTATAAATGTCCGGTATGATACTACAATATTTTCATCTTTATCATCATCAGCATCATCATCATCATCATCATCATCATCATGAAAATCATCCTTCACATCATATCACCATCGCTACTATCAACATTATCATCACAACCATCAAACGTTATCATCATCACCATTATCATCATCACCATCACTACCATCATCATCATCACTACCACCAACATCATCATCACCGCCAGAACGATCATCATCAAGAATAACAACATCATAACTATTGTCGACATTAGAATCGTCATCATCGACATCGTCATCATCATTACCGTCGCCATCATCATCATCGCCATCATCATCATCGCCATCCTCTTCATCACCATTATTGTCATCAGGATCCAATCCTGTCCTCATAAACATGTCTCCCAATCCGGAATTTTCCCTCTCTCTTCACTCTTTACCTCCACCTTTTCGTTTTTATTATTATTATTATTGTTATTCGTATTATTATTATTATTTACAGTATTAACATTGGTGTCATTGTGATTATTGTTTTTGTTCTTATTATTGTAACTGATGACGTCACTAATGCGAACTCCGATGTTATTATTGTTATTGTTTCTGTAGATGTTGTCCTTGCGGTTGTTACCTTCCTCATCACCATCATCATCATCATCAGTTAGTGTAGCTATCACCAAACTGTTCTGATAACTGCTTGTCATTATCTGCAAGAGGTGATAATGATTGGTGATGATGGAGATCATGATGATGATGCTGATTATGATGTTTAGGATGAAGACGATGATGATGAAAATTATGATGTTGAAAAGAATAATAATAATGAGGGTGATGATGGTGATGATAAAAAAGAAGAAAAAGATGAAGAAGAAGAAGATGATGATGATGATGAAGAAGATGATGATGACGATGATGATGAGTGGATATGATATGATAGATGGCAACGAGGGAATCATTAAGATTCCTTATCATCCATCATGCAGTAACCCAACATCGCTTCAAAACACAACGTAACAGCAACATAACAACAACAACAACATAACAACAACAACAACAATAATAACAACAACAACAACAACAACATAACAACAACATAACAACAACAACATAACAACAACAACATAACAACAACAACATAACAACAACAACATAACAACAACAACAATAATAACAACAACAACCACAATAACAACCACAATAACAACAACAACATAACAACAACATAACAACAACAACATAACAACAACAATAACAACAACAACATAACAACAACAATAACAACAACAACAATAACAACAACAACAACATAACAACAACAACAATAACAACAACAATTAAAATAATAATAAAAATAACAACAATAATATTAATAATTATTATTTTTATTATAATTGTGTATGTGTTGTTGCAAAAGATTTGGCTAATTTCGTACAATTCACTGTTTTTTATCTATAATACTTGTTTTTATACGTATAATTAGTTTTTAAATTAGTTGTCTAAATAGAAACTTTGGCAGAATTTAAAAATTTTTCAAATTTAAATTTTATACTTTTTTTTAATTTTAATTATCTTAATTAACGAAATACAGCGTAAGTTCAAATAAATGTCCGAACTGCAAGAAAATATTTATTAACGCTGGTGGACACTCCTGGCACTGTACTGTTGTAAGAATGTTTGCTACTCTAATGTTAATGTTGTCCGCCCAGTTGAAAAATTTATCGCTAATATTTCGCCAAATATTCGCAGTTCAAATTCTGTTGTCAATTGCTCTATTGAAATTAGAAATAATAATTTAATATCACGTCGCTGTGAAGAAATGTAAGGGTCACAGAAGTCTAACTATGCACCGATGTCTTCTCCCGGCTGCAACACAAACTATTACCAAGTATCAACAACATAGACGGATTCACAAGAGCATCTCAAAAGATGATGTACAATTATTTCGCTCAAATTTACGGTGCTATGAAACCGCACACTGGTCAAAACAACATCGCAAGCAAAAACATCAAGAATCTAAAATAAGAATTTAAACATCTTAAAGAATTTGGCAAGAATAACCACTACTTTGACAATCAAATCATTAACATAAGCGAAACTTCACCTTCATAACTATTGTCGATAGAGCTGTCGAAATTGCAGAAAAAAATCAGACATCACAGCTCAGCTTGGACAGGACAGCGCAAGAGGATGTTCGCCACAGCAAGGACCTGAGACCATCGTTCAACGTCGAAATACTTCACAAACATATTAAACGACTCAAATCATTGCAAAGAACATCAGCTTCCTAAATGGGTCTAAAAACTTCAATCTCCAGTTACGTCCTTCAATGCCAGGTCCTCCTTCCCACCAAGAGATTGCAACAACAGTCTACAAATACAAATCAAAATCATCATCCAGCCCGCTTGTTCAGATCTCAGTTATTCCTTTCAAAAAGTGCTTAATATTGCGTACCATTCTGCATCAACTACTAAAGATATGCTGGGTATCCTCCGAAACCCCTTCATGCTGGAAAGGGGTTCACAATATTAATTTATAAAAAGGAAGGTGCTTGAGATCCGGTCAACTTCGGACCCACGACTCTGCAACGAACGCTCCACAAAATACTTTCTTCACTCATCAACAACGAACAACATGATTAACAAAAATGTACACATGGAATTCTACCCAAGAGCAAATGGCCTGACTGAACAACACGCACACAACTCACACGACCAACAATGCAATAATAGCATTAATAATAATAATGGGAACATCTTTTATTTTTCGCCATAAAAACATGCAATGATAAATAAATAAATAAATAAATATATATATATATATATATATATATATATATATATATATATAAGTTAATGTTAATTAAATAATGCGCAATGATAAAATTTTTAAAAATTGTATAAAATAATATTAAAGGTTAAGACCATTTTGCTCATTGTGAAGTTAAGTGCAGAACGGTGAAATATATTTAATTAGCATCATAGCTTGTTCCTGTCACAGTAAATGTCATACGATAATCTTAATTAATTATAATAATCTTATTAATTAATTAATCTTAATAATAATAATAATAACAATAATAATAATAATAACATTATAGACAACACAAGCCGCATCACAAACACAAACAATTAGAAACACACAAACAAACAAACAAACAGACAGCATAGACATAAACAAAACAGACAAGACCAAAGAACAAAATATCTATAAGGCAATAACTTTACAAAACAATCCACTACAACTAACTACTGCTACCACCACTCCAACTGCTGACAGTACCACCACTACTACTACCACTGCAACAACAATTACTAATATTGCTCTGCTTTTACTATTACTATTACTACTACTACTACTACTACTGCTGCTGCTGTTACTACTACTACTACTACTACTACTACTACTACTGCTGGTGCTATTGGTACTACTACTACTACTGCTATTATTATTATTTTTAATGTTACTACTACTGCAGCTATTACCACAGTAAAATTATTACTATTAATCGTTCCATTATAAAGCAAACAACAGCAATAAATGCAACAACAACAATAACAACAGCGTTAACAAAAGAGCAGAGTAACATAATGATATAAACATGAACACATGAACATGTATGAACACATGAGCATGTATGAACACATGAACACGAACGAACATGTATAAACACATGAACATTGACCAAGAAAAAAAACAAAACAAAAAAAACAAAAAACAAGATCACTGACAACAATAGTGATGAGATGAAAATTTTAAAATTAAAAAGACGCCAACAGTTATCTTCCATTTCTTTCATTTTTCCATTTCATTGTTACTAGCAAAAATCTCATAAACAATTTCAACAACACATCAACAACAACATCGACAACAAAATCATGAGTTACGCAACCGTGTAACAACAACAACCACAACTACAACAACCACAACATCCGCAATAATCACAATAACCACTACAACCACAACATCCGCAATAACCACAACAACCACAACTACAACAATCACAACAGCCGCAATAACCACAACAACCACAAACTTTTTTGAAGTCTCCGGTATTTCCAACTATGACATTAAGCATGGTATCGTCCCACTCGATATCTTCCTCATCATTATCAAAACCGCTGCAAAAATTAACAACATCATTATCATAACCACCGTGAAATTTATCATCATGTTTATCATCTTCATCATCACCGTCATCTTTTTTTTCATTTTTGTTCATCATCATCATCTTCTTCTTCTTCCTCCTCCTTACCACCACCACCACCACCACCACCACCACTATTAGCAGGAAACAAAATATGATGAGTGATATTGCAATTATTACTATTACAATCTTGTTATCTTCCAACAATCCTGTAGAGATGTGTATGTGTGTGTGTGTTTGTGAGTGTGCGCGTTTGTGTGAATGAGTGTATGTGTGTGTAGTTATGTGTGCATGTATGTGCGTATGTTTGTGTTTGTGTGTGGAACTGTATCAGAACATGTCTGCTTTTCGCGTGTGTTTAAGTTTTATATGTATGTGTGTATGGATGGATGTATGTGTGTTTATGCATGTGTGCATATGTGTGTTTATAGCTTGTGTGTTTCATCATATGTGTGTTTATATAAAATGTGATATGTAAAAAAGTTAAGTTTTATACAAATTTGTGAATATATGTTTGCATGTGATTTTATGTGTTTGTGTGTGTTTGTATCTGTTTATGGTTTTTATGCTCACATGTTTAAACAGAGAAATATGTTAATTTTATGACCCGCTCGGTTATTGCCATGTAACGACCATAAACGCAATCAAAACCACAAAAACTCACTCAACATACATACATGCACCAACATTTTTATCAACAATTGCCATCACCATTTTTATCATTATCAGTATACTTGTTATGAATCCATCACCGTATCATTTTTTCATCAGATCATCAACATTATCATCATATCCTAATCTCCTTTCCAGATGATACAAGTTAGAATCTTCGAAACAAAACTGCCTGACAGAACTCCACCTACAGTTTCAAACTGGATTGGCTACGTACAGGCATTGACCATTGCACGTGCATTCATCATGCTTCAGTCATTCATTTCTACCTTCTGCCTCCTGCACTGGACTTCAAAATGCCATCAAAATATTGCCAAGAATTTTTTACACCTATAATTTTTCTATGAACAGTTCTTTGTTTTTTTATCTTTAATAAAAAAATTCATTAACTGATACAAATCAAAGTGAGAGGTTGTACAAAATCACTTATTCGTTGTTTTAGTAGATAGAATAATTGTCCATTATTTTAACTAATTGTAATCTCGATCATTATTATAAGTGACATTCAAGCGAATGAATGCATATTAAATTATTCACTCCACGATACATTCTCGGAACAACAAATTGAATTTTGTGCTTCTGTCGTCTCGTCTTTCAAAACTTCTCTTCACAATGCAAGGCATATTTTTCTTGAGCGAGCACGCAAACAAACTTCATTAAATATTGATGGTACTCGCAATTTTTTTTTGAGAAACACTTTGCCAGTTTCTCTCTTTATTAAATAACGCTTTTCACGTCACTGTCAACAAGCAGCCTCGTCAGAATAAGTCAACAACTTTTCAACATGTTTCTAGCCTCAAGTTCTTCATTTAACTATTTCAAGCAGACCAATTTGACGAACAACAATAAATAATTTGAATATTATTAATCCCTATGTATTGTATTCATATGTGTATCTACAAAACAATAAAATACGTAAACAAATAAAACCAGCCACCAGCATTACAGACGACTTCAGAACCAAACCTCACCAGCTTCATTGAAGATCATCCCTTCATAAGCTTCAGGAGCTTCTTGCCATCTGTTGGTCTGACGTCAACCATCCAACACTTCGCCAACCACGTACTTTTTGAAACCAGTTTAACTGCAATTGAACGGTCGACACTGTTGACAATTTCACAGTCGTATTATTTGTCATCAAAGTTGTTTTGTTGACGCTAATCAACTGTGTTACTTTTGTTAATCACTGGTATCTATATATAACTTTACAAAGTGTTATTTATACAATAATATATATATATATACAACAATATGTATATATATATGTGTGTATGTATATAAGCATGCTTATGAGATGTAGACATACGAGTCCTTAATAATGGAATAACTTTGAAAACAGCATACGTGTAAGATTTGTAAGTTAATTGTACCGTATTCTCTATGTCGTTATCTTTGTTGGCATCAATGTATTTCAGATGTCTGTGTATCTGTCTGTGTGAATGTGTTTGTATATGTTTGTTTGTCTGTCTGTATATGTTCCATCTGTTTGTGTGTATCAATGTGTCTTGTCTGTATCTGCCCATATGTTTAAATAAGTTTTTGTTGTTACTAATATGTTTTAATGTCTTTTAGTGTTTGTTTCCGAGTGCAATAACAAATGGAATGTTTTGGCACTTTGTTAATTTCACGTTTTCATTTTTGATAATTTACAAACAGGTGAATAATTTTCACATTTTATTTCATTTTTCAAATTTTTTTGGCTCTTTTTGAAACAAATTTTCAATAAATTTCCCTTTCGTTGTTTTGTGTTGTATTAAAAATAATGAAATTTTGTAATACTCTCTTTCGTCTCCCAGTGCTTCAACTCCACCATCATTAACTTCCTTTCATGTTTCCATTCCTTAAGGAATCTGTTGGAAGTCACAAACCCTGGCGACTCATCTGTGAAATTCAGGGTTTAATATTTCAAATATATTAACAGATACTGTTTTCTTTGTAGCTTTATAATTTCTTTGTTATATTTAATTCAATTTATTCTGCTTATAATTTGTTATACTTTTTATTTTATTCAAATGTTTTAATAACAGTTCTTCGCTCAAAACATTTTCAATTGTTACGTTCATTCATATTGATTTTAACAATTTAATTTTGGCAGTCAGTGAAGTCTTCATTTAGTTTCTCAGTCATTAGTAGTTTCAAGACTTCTAAATAATTTATTATTTTGAACCTCTTAAGCCTTCCCAATCTAGAGTCAATTACTGATAAATTAACGCTTCAGTCTGATTCATATTTGCCTCGCGAATGCTTCGCGATGAATTAGTCATATCGTAATCAACTGCTACTTGAACTATATATGTTTGTTGCTTCGAAGTAAAAACGTATAAAAATTCTGCTCAGTTGAAAACTAATGAGTTACTCACTGGAGCCCCAAGCAGAGAAGATTTTTCTAAACAGCAACCATCCGCATCCGCAGAGTTCACGTCCGCAACCGCAAAATGACCAACTAAATCGGCCGTCTTCTATTTGATATCATTAGAAATAGAAACTGTCTATGAAAAAATTATTTAGATTCCAACAGAATCGCACATTGTTAACGTCATTAAATGTGTTAATATTTTCATAAGCGAAATATATTCTTTATAACAGGTGCCTACAGAAGGTAACCACGCTCCAACTCGCATGAAGAAGTTCGGCTGGGGGCGTGCTATTGCAGGTCCAAGTGCAATGTTTACGATAACTGCTTCAAACATAACGTCAGCATGTAAAAACAACAACATCAAACACAATATTCCTGATCTACATAATTCAGCATTTTTAGGCAACCAGATATAGTTTTGTGAAATCATTACATCGAGTTTCTAATAGAAACAAAGACAAATATTCTGAATGAATAAGCCAAATACTTTTAAAAATTAATGATCGACCGGCAGATCTGCTTATATTGAGAAGCTTCTTTTGCATCTTGAGTAATTTTACAGTTTACATCATAACTAACAATTTAGGACAGTTTTGAGTACTTCCCCTGTCTCTTTCTTATCATTTCAATCTAATATTGTAGCATAAACATGAAAAAAATCAGGTCCATCATCTTCCTCCTTTTTAAACATTCAAGTAGATGAGTCACATTTTGTGGGTCGCAGTTTCCGTCATGCAGGGGGTCTGCATGTGTAGAACGGTCTGCCAGCAGAGCGTAGAAGTTGCACGTCACTGGTGGCTTTTAAGAAAATGCTGGAAACCTATTTACTGGCGGATGCAGGCTGCAAGCGCCTCTGAAGCAATCGTGCCATTGGCAGTTTATAAATTGCCACATTATTATTTTTATTTAAATATTTATTATTTAACCGAAACTTCAATAGTCAGAGTAGTCACACAATTTTTTTAAAATAATTTGTAAACAGACAAAAAGGTACAAAGTTATAAATTTCAAGTAAAGTTTGTACAGATGAACAGTTTAGAGCAGAATCTATCAAAATATGTACATCAAGGAAATAAAACTTATTGAGAACGAAAATACACGTCTATCTTGGGAACAAATAGATCAGGGTTCTCCCTTTTAAAATTTTCCAAAGTTGCCTTTGTTTCGGTTTGCAGCTCTTGCTTCAACTTAGCGACGTCCTGGTAGTTATGAGGGTGGTTGGGGTGATACTGGTTGATGGTTGAAGTTATGAAGGGGTGGCAGAGAACGTCGATCGCTGAATAGCGGACAGCTGGATCGACCACCAGCAGTTTTTCTATTAGACTTCTCGGCTCTGATGAATGAAGTTGAAATATATAAATTATTGTTATCGTTGTTAGACATTTTTAAACATCAAACGTTTAATTTTCAAGAAATATAAAAATACAGTTGAAAAATTGAAACCTACCGGCTGAAACATCATCCCAGTACGGACTGAGAAACTCGTAGACGCCCAATTTAATGGCCTCAAACAGTTCGGATTGGTTGCGGTCAGGACTTCTGAACGGCGGGAACCCACAGAGCAATATATAAGTTATGACTCCAAGGGCCCACATGTCGATAGGCAAACCGTACCCTGCATGGAAAATAAAACTCAAGCATTTGATGAAAAAAATATTATGTTTATAATTAAAATAAATAATATTACATCTTATTTCATGATCAACATTAACAAGTTTGACTTATATTATTTTTGAATCAATGTAAGCCATCATTCCATGTTGATTACCTTGTTCGAGGAGGATTTCAGGAGCCACATAGGTTGGAGTTCCGCAAACTATGAGCAAGGGACCATCCACGACCATCGCAAGTCCAAAATCTGCCAACTTCAAACAAATGCTACCGTTCGAACGATTGTGCACCTGATGATGTTCGTTGGTTGGTGATTGGTGGTTGGTTGGTTGGTTGGTTAGTTGATTAGTTGGTTGGTTGATGATTAGAGGTTGGTTGGCTGGATGATTGGTTGACTGATGATTGGTTGGCTGTGTTGGTTAAAGAATAATAGTTGTTTGATTGGCGGTGTTTTGGTTGATTGGTGATTAATTGGTTGTTGATTGGTGGTTATTGACTGGTGGTTAATTAATGTTTGATTGATGATAAATAATTTTTATAAATAGTGGTTGATTGTTGATGATTGATGGCTGGATGGTTGGTCAGTTAGATTTAGTGTTAAAGTTGGGATTAGGGTTATTGATTAGTGAGCTGATTAGTTGATTGATAATTAATTGATAGATTGACGTATTCGTAAATTGACCAGTGGATAAATTTTCATAAAACACATTTTATTTTTTAAAAATACATTTGGACCTCCATATAATGAACTTCTATCCTACAACAAAAACCTTTATATAACGATTTTTTGTCCTTTAAAATTTTACATATAAAACTGTTTAAATAATTTTACTATAACGAAAAAATTTATAAAAGTTAAAAAAAAATACCCGACCAGCAAACAAATCTATGAGTTGATATGAACTGTATTTTTGTACACCTTTAATATCTTGGAACCATATTTCTTATTTCTGGCTCGAGTATTATAGTAATTTTTGCGAATCCTACCTCGCTTAATTTCATTTGAATCGGAATCATCCGTTGCATGGAACAAAGAATAAATTTCGCTTTTAAAATTTTAATTTTTACAATTATAACATGTAATATTAATTTTTGTTATCAAAATAAATGATCAGAAGGTTGTATTTCATAAATATATAGCATAGAAACACTTTTTAGGCAATATAGAATTTCTTCCAGAACAAATTCTATATAATAAAATGTCTATATAACGAATTTTTATCCTGAAACCATAAAATTCGTTATACGTAGGTCCAACTGTATATAATTTTCAATATAATATTTTTAAACAACGAAAAATTGAACGAACGCACGAACGAACGAACAAACGAACGAACGAACGAGAATGTTTTCAGGCTTCATGTCCCTGTGAACGATGGACCTGGAGTGGAGGTAGTAGAGGGCACTGGTGAGGTCACAGACCATCAAACTGCTCGTCCACTCATCAAATTTCGTGTGCAAACTTATCAGGTCAAATAAATCGCCACCCTATTGTGTGGTCATATTTAATGACGATGATGATGATGGTGGTTGTGATGATGATGAGGATATCTTGATCACAATGACGATGGTGAATATATGAGTTATGATGAATAATTATGGAAGCAATGATGATGATGGTGGTGGTGGTGATGATGATGAAAGGTGAATTACAATTAAGAAGATATATGGCAAACGTTACGGATGGCTTCATGACTGAAATGATTCAACATCATTATCATTGCTATCATGATTATTAACAGTGTAGTCATTACTGTTATTATTAGTCATCACCTTAATCTCAATCATCCTCTTCATCATCATCGTCACCATCATCATCACCTTATCCCAATCATCATCATCTCATCATCACCATCATCATCATCTTCATCACGTTAACATTATTGTCGTCATCGTTACCATGGGAACAACGCCATCAGAACAGTTGTTACTAAACTGCGTTGTCAATTTATGAAAATGAATATATAAAGCACGTAACATTATTTAAGAAAAATTATTTTACATTTACTGTTTTTAGGAATAGTTTTTACACAAAGCAAATAAATTGTTAAACAATTGTGCGCTGCAAATGCCATTCATTCACGTACAAACTTTTCAACTGTTCGTCGTTCATTGTTTAGAATGAATGTTTATTTGTCGTTATGAATTTTAAGAATAAACATATTTAAAATAATTTCATATCCATTCAGTTGGCAAGTTCACATATATATACTCATAGGAAGGCTTACAATACACGCTTACACAGATACAAATATATATATATATATATATATACAAACTACGCAAAAACTTAACCTTATGCGTAGAAGTCTCGAACAAGAAAGCCCACAAAGGGCAAAAAAGTTAGCGTAAATATAAAGCGCGAATTTAACAAGTGCACATCAACTTTTGGTGACCTTGTCAAGAGTGCATATTTGCATAGATACAAAAAATTCTTCATTACAAAGCGCTAAAACGTCTATTGTTCTTACTTAGTAAAATGGCGACTGTTTCTCGATTCTAAAACTTATGACGTCTCTAACGTTCCTTACGTTGTTGTTTTAATATGTCGTGGTTTCAATGTTGTTGTTTTAATAGTGTTAAAGTTGTCGCTTCAATGTCGTTAACGCAGTTGTTTATGTTTCAATGTTGTTTATGTTTTAAAATTTTGTTAATGTTGTTGGTTTAATTGTTGTTTGTTAACGTAATATGAACGTTGATTGTATGTTGCAGATGTGTTACGGTTGATATATGGTTAGAGATGATATGTTTGCATTCTTTAATCTTAAGTTTGCAGGTTGTATAAAACTAAATTAATAAATTACGGGCTTTTTATATATTTTTCATTTATTTTTGTTTTTCACGCAACCTGGAAGAGATAATGAGAAAGAGAGACAGAGAGAAAGGGAGAGGCACATGTTGCTGAAACAATGGCAGAACATATGATTTATTGATCAATGTTGTTGTTGGTGGTGAGAAAAAATTGTTGGTGCAAGTGAATTTTGTTGCCCCTTTTAAATGAACATTAAAATTAAAGACTTAACAAACATTGAATTACGTTAGTAAACATTTCAGAATGTAAAAAAACAGAATGGACATTTACAAATGAGACTACCTAAAACTATCATTAAGATGGAGTCACTCCACTTATGAAAAATGTATTAGGCTATCAGGAAGGTAAATGAAAATACCATTTTCGGAAATGTAAAATGAGCGAGCACCAGGAAGGGATGCTGATTAATCATTCCTTTTACTTCGTATAATGTAAGTCTTGAATTTTGTCCACACGAAGGATGTGTCGACGTAGAAAATTAAAACATTTTCCACGCATCTGATCAATAAAATCTGCTTTATGGTTTGTTTGTTTTATGGTTTGATTGTTTGTTTTATGGTTTGTTTGTTTGTTAATTGCTTGTTTTATGTTAGTTTGTTTTTTGAGTGCCTGGTGAAGAGAGATTAAAACATTTTTATGTGATCCAACAAATGCTTCCGTCCGACTGCGAACAATTCCTAACAGTACATGTGCAGAAAGGAATATATTTTCATTGATGGTTTTGTTGCTTGATGAAATGTTTGTTGGTTTTGTCAAACGTTTGCTAAATGTTTTGTTGCATTTATGTTTTATTCAAGCGTCAATGCATGGGATGTGATGTACGTGATGTTCGTATTTGCAAAACGTTATCAAGTACACTTCCAAATTTGGCTTTTTTTCATGTAAAAATCATAATAAATCTCAATGAATGAACAATTAATTATCCACTGGTGTATTTATTTATACAGACATCTTTCGAATCTTTGCAAATACAATTGACATCTCTGCGTCAATTTATTGCCACTGTACGATTGTCCAGCAAACTGTTATAAAATTGTCAACCTATTTGGGAACTTCATTGGGAACGAGAGTTTTCTGACCAGGCATTGTTTAGCGTAGGAAAAGGCTGGTGGAACCGGTGAAATTGACTTTGGCGATGTTGGTGACAATTTTGCAAGAAAGTGTGAATGTTGCTGCAGATTGCTCCAACTCCAACTTCGTTTGAATTCAGTGGCGTAATTACGCCGCTGTGGGCAGTTTTTAAATAAAAGTCAGAAAAAGGACTCTATTATATATAAAATCGACCAAAAAAGAGCGTCAGCCACACTACTACAAATCTTGGCCCACTGTGAAAATAGAAACACTTTCAAAATTTTGTCCCCGCCCCCGTCAAAGTTATCTAGGTCGGCCAGTGTTTACATTACATGTGTATAATTTTCATACTGCTTACTAATGATGGTGGCGGTTATTCACAACGCAGAGTTGAATAATTATGACTGAAATTTTTTATCAACAAACTTTTTAAAAACATTTTAATCCAACACGTTTATATTGAAAAACTTTGTATGTACTATTACAAACGCCCTCAAATGCCTGCTCACACACACAGAATAAGAGAGAGAGACATACAAAAACACAACCTATTAGTTTAAATTATAAGCATACGGTAGGAAGTCTATTGCGTCGATATCATCATTTCGTAAATTATAAAAGTTGCGTACGTGGAAACGAGCCACATTGATTTTGTTGCTATACATGTTCTACCAGCAGCTTCAAAGAGCGATATTGAATCATAAAACGTTATTGAACATAAAGAGAACGAGCGAACCGCTTTTCAGCAAATTAATAACGAAACAATTTTTTATGTTCATGTTTGTTTTAATGAATTTAATAACTTGTTGCTCTATATTTCGCAATAGCAAAATGTTGTAGTCGGTCTAAGAGAGCTACTGAATCTAAACTTCTTTAAAAAATTTGTAAATAATAAAAAGTCGAATTCAGGGGGAATTGGGTGAATTTTAAAAGTTTCATGCATTGGTTCACGTTAAAATGATTCGATATTAAGGGCTCACGCAAGGACAAAACGTTTTGAAGAAATGAAGTTCACTGTGAAGGTAAACTCGTTCAAGCATCTTTCCCAACAAAATGTATATCATTTTTTCAAAAATCATCAAACTTCAACTTACCACGTATCGACACAAGATACCCCATAATGCAGTTAGTTCTATAATGCCATAGATGCAGGTATGTAAAGCATAACAACAAGGAAGTTTGTCTGCATGTGTTTTTCTTTGTTATGTGAGTTTGTATGTGTGTATGTCTGTAAGTACGAGTGTGTGTTTGCATGTGTATGCCCACTTACTTGAAAGTTAATTTGTATGCGGGTGTATATTTTTGCACGTGCGTCCATATCATGCAACCATTCGAACGATTTCATCACTTATTCATGACTTTTCGTCCTGTTGCAATCGATGGCGGGTAATTAATAACTTGTTGCTGTTCCTTCTACACGCACTTAAATAACAAAAATATTTCCCATTTCCCACACACAACATGCACCCACATACAAATAACGTTTGATACATTGCATGCATATACTCTCTGTATGCGCCATGATGATAACGGTATTGAAACATTTGTCAAAATTTAATTCCATTTGAAAACTGAACGACTAAAAATTAGTAGAAACTTAGCGTACCGATGAAAGATTTCATGAATTTGACCAACCTTAACTAACTCCATGACGAGGTAGATCTCACTGAATGTCTCAAACTCTTCAAATAACTTCACGATGTTGGCATGGTCGCACAACTTCATCAAACAAATTTCGTTCTCCAGCATATCTTCCTTGCCCTTCAACTTTGACTTGTCAATGACTTTCACGGCCAACTCGAGATTGTGTCCCAACTTCCTGGCTCGTCGCACGACAGCAAAGTTGCCATCGCCGAGAATTTCGAGAAATTCGTATTTTTCTCGAATTCTTTTAACAGCCGATATTTGTCGCTGTTGTTTGCTTTTGTGCACGGCCATCGTGGTGTATTGCTGTCGGCGCATGTTGGCAGAATCCACGTTGCTCGTTCGTATGGGGGAGGACTTCTTCAGTTTTTTAGAATTTGTTTTCAAAAGTGTCCCCGTCGGTGCCGTCGCCGTCGTCGTCGTCAGTGGTGGTGGTGGTGGTAACGTTAACAACTGCGATGCGGGCGTTAATACTGACTGAGATGCGGTCGATGGTTTGGAAATTGTGGCCGTTTTATTTGAAGCGGGCAAATTAATTTTTGTCACTGTTTTTAAGTTGCTCTCTATCACCAGTTCTACAGGTCCTTCACTGTTTGTTCGTTTTAATTTTTTTCTTCCGTTACTGATTTCGCTGCTAGTGTGGACGCCATTTTGAACTTGGGAAATATCTTGCTCACTTTTCCTTCTCAAAAAAGATCTTCTTTCATTTTTCTTCATACTTTCATCCTTAACATGAACTTCTGCAAGTTCTTTTTTGTAAGCTGTTAAACTTACCATCTTCTTCCCATTCCCAAACATTTTGCCCATACCCCCATAATCATTAACGCCAACTAAATTATTGTAATTAGCGGCCCGATTATCAAGCTCTTCTAAACGTTTGATCTTGTGCGACATTTTGTTTTTGATCAGCAACTTCCCACTTTTCACATCCTGGATCATTTTTTCTTCTTTCTCTTTTTCCAGTTGTTTCATTTTCTCAACCTCCGAAGAGTCACGTGTCAACTGAAAGTTGTTTGCTGGATTCTGAAAAATTTTGTGGTGCAGTTGTGTTTCATTTTGTGTCTTGTCTATTAATTCAGTTTCTGCGTCCCTCGCGTCTAAAATTTTCTCCGTGTCATTTTTTTTCGTGGATGACTTGGGAGTGTGTTGATCGACATTTGCTTCGACGTTCTCTTGGATTTTGTTCAGCTTGAGTCTTGGACTGTTGTGATGGCGGTAGTTGACGTTCGGTCTTTCTGTTAAAACCACTTTCCTGCTTGTGACTTTTGGTTTTGAATGTTCCCTGTCAGTTTGTGAAGATGTTTTTTGCATGAAAGATTTGTTCTGTTGTTGTTGATCAGTTTGATGATGAACAGTTTTGTCGTTATCTTTGGTTTTTACCTCTTTATTACCTTGCGTTGGTGGTTTGTTAGCAGGTCCGTCTTTAGTGTCACTGCTTTCTTTCTCTTTTTCACCATTTTGACTTAGATCTTTGTAATCATTTTTCAAGTAGATTGGTTTTGATCGATGTTTATCTTTTTGAAGCACGTAAATATCATTTTGAATGGCGAAGACATCTTCCATATTTGTAATCTCGTCGCCTTTATTCGAACATAATCGTATTTTCTCATATTCACAATCTTCAACGTTTGTGGCCCAACCATTGAATGCTCTGTAAACTTTTTTGAGAAAATTTTTAAACTGTTGTTTTTTGTAGCAAGTGACGTGGACACATTGACTTGTTTTGTCGCTATTCAAGTGAACGCGAACAGTTTTTTTGTTTGAAAGCGTTTCAAAGTTGTTCACGTGTTTATCGGGAGTGTAACCAGCATGTGCGAAGGTTAGGTTGGAGCCACGTCGATGATGCGGTCGATTTGATTGGTTGTGTTGTAGCTGATGTTGTTGGTATCGAGGGTAGCTGTGTGGTAGCATATGGTACTGCAAAGGCTTCTGAATGTTGAGGACTGGAGTTGGCCAGGTTTGAATGGAGGCGTAAAGAAACTCGTTAGCTCGATTGACGGCTGGATAAAAATTGTTCAATTTTAAATAAATTTGTTGCGTTATTAACAAGTTTTGGCAAATTTTAAAATGTTAGATAAACAAACCATTAGACCAGGCCGTCGTGATATCTTCTCCGTAATTAATCGGTTTGAAAGATTCGAAACCGGCGCAAACAATATTTCTGCCATCATTCAGCTGTGTCAAATTTATAATCTTCCTCCCTGTCACAGGTGTGAAAATCTGCCGAACTCCGTACGTCAGTTTAGAGTTGGACGGTAATTTATTTGTCAAGTCGGTTAACAAATCGTTGAAATCTCGGTATTTGTGTGGATTAATGTGAACCGGTTTAACTTTAGAATATTGGTCGCCATTGCAATAGAGGAAAAGTTTTTTGGGTTTTTTAAAGGAGCACCTGTCTTCAAGGGACACAGTGCGGTAGGAAGGTCCTTCCATTCTTGACATCGGTTTGAGCTGAGAATGATTTACAATGGGATCTGCATTTGTATGTGAAAAATATGTTGGTATGTGCAATATATTTCGTACATTGTAATTGAAAAATTAATTATCACGTCATATATGCAACTATTTATAGAAGTTACTGAAATTATTAAGATAAGAAGTTTAATTAAACAGTATTTTTAAATTAAAAAAACAGTATTTTACTTCGTTGTAACGGGTCCAGTTTACAATTGCAAAATAATCAACATAAATATTAGTTTTTTTGAATAATTTCAATTTAATCTTAAATTTTAAGGTAAAAAAATTAATTACATTTTAGGTTTCAAACAATCCGTATTTCATGGACAGGACATTGCTTGAAAATATTACGTTCAAACTATGCGAAGGTCTTAAAGTAAAGAACATGTGTATGAAATATTATTCATCAATATAAGTATATAATGATCTACGTAATTGTATGAATGTATATGTATATAATATATTTTGGTAACAGACTGTTGTTAACGCAACATTTCAAAAATTCTACACTACTTTCAACATTGTTCAACTTTTTTATATTTCTTTTTAATTTATTAAAAAGAAATACAATATTATATTTTTTAATAAATTAAAAAGAAATATAAAAAAGTTGAACAATGTTGAAAGTAGTGTTGAATTTTTGTATATAATATATGTATATATATATATATATACATTTGTTATATATATGTATATATATGTATGTATGCATATACATGTATATATTTAGACTTATACATACATGAACACATAATATCAGTAAAATGTCATATCTTTGTTTAGGTACGTTAGATACAACATCCCCCTCCCTCCCCGTCAGAATTAACTTCAAGCAGCGACACCTAACCAAATATCGTTTAAAAAAATATAAACTATGAAAATTTTTACGTTCCAGTTTACTTAAATTTAAAAATCATTTGTCTGCTAGTACTCGTCAACTTTTCATTGAGAATAGGAAAACAATTTATTTATAAAAATTTTAAATAATAATTTTTTGGACATTCAGAAATCTACAAAAAGTTAAGTTCCATGAACTGCATGCCGTCACGTAAGGTGAGAATCAAATACTCTAGATTTTTCGTCCCCATTTTTAGATTTTATACTTCAAATTCAAAAACGTTCATACATTGATGGTTAAAAAAGCAAACGCATGCAATATAATATATATATATATTGAATATATCAAATATATGGCAATGATATGACAAAGGCGTTATATATATTATATATGCTAATTATATGTTAATATATATATTAAATATATTTTTATATATATAGCATAATTATAAAAAATGATCACATACAATAATCACAGTTTAGTTATCGGCATTTACCGCAAAAACGGAAAATATTGAAAGGTACTCTGGTCGTCATGGTGAAACAACTAAATGCCCGAATGAATTTTTAAATAAGTTTCTAATTTTTTATCTTAAAGTGTAATTTTTTTAAATAAATTAAATTTATAAATTGTTCACATTGTTAAATAATAAAAAATTAAGTTGAAATGTTTTAAATTTTTAAATAATTTTGTTGATTAGTTGAACCAGTGGAGTTGATCATATGAGAAGGAGCCATGTGATGTCAATAGTAACGTCTGATCAGCTTTTTGCCCAATTTTATTTATTTTAACTCGTTTTTTTAGTTTTCATTGTTAGGCTGGGTAGTTTTAGTGATCAGTCCGTATTGGGGTCTTTTGTGGCAATTGATGGTTTTATCTTTCATGATTGCTGAAATATTCGGTAATTAATTTAAATTAAAATTTTTTTTAATTTTTAAAACTAAAATTGTCATTGTTATTGTTGTGTGGCAAGTCTTGTCTCAGTTAATTTATTGTTAACTTTTGTCCTGTTTTTTATTTTTATTGGTTAGATGGCATTTTTGATTTTATTAATAATTAATCTTCTGAGATATTGAAAGTTTATTTCAAATAAGATAAGTTTTTATGCAAATTTTTAACAAAAGGTTTTTTTGCAATACAAATGAATGAATGGACAATGAATTGAATACAATATCAATTATTTTTATTATTAATAATTAATTTAATTTAATTATCTTTAATTTTATTTAATTAATTAATTATAGTTAATGTTGAGAAATCAGGGGTAATGTTATCAACAAATTTCATCAATGATTTTCCAGTTCATCAACGAATCAGTTGTTAAACTAATCGGTGGACTCGCTTAAAATTAGCTGATTAATTAAAATTGTGTTACTGTTAGGCTTTTTTAAATTGAACAAAAAACATCACCTCAGAACTTTCTTTATATTTTTTTGTGGTAGTCATTGTTGTACCATAAACTCACATTATAGACGCCAGACACTCACATTATAGAGCCCAGCAACAATGTCTGACATTAGAGAGAATCAACTTTCCTCAAAACTGACCAACGACAATGATGATGAAGATGATAAATTGTTAGCATTGGCCAACCATGTCAGTCCCAGTGAAAAGGATGAAGACGATGATGATGTTGCACTCAACAGACATCATGCCTACTCCATCAACAACGATGCTGATGTTGATGCTGGCGATTTTACCAACAAGCATCCCAACGGAGACTCAACATTTCAACAACCTCCAATTTCCAACAACAACATCAGCAGCAGCAACAACAACAACAGCACACCACATCCACTAACAAACAGTAGGAGGAGCAGTGCCATCGCAGATGCACTGACAAACAGCATCGGAAATACTATTGATCCCGAGATACTGGAGACGGACATCGGCGATGAGCACTTACATGTATACAGAAGTCGATGGTACATTCTGTTTGTTTATTCGTTGGTGGCATTCTTGCAGGGGGGGTTGGGGAGTGTCTGGTCCGTGATCACCCCATCTGTTGAGGAGGCCTTCAGGTTGGCTCATACTGCATCTATATATCTTTTCTTTGTCTTTGTTTACTTTTTTTATAATTATTATTTATCTGAAAAACTTTGTTATTTCAGTTCGTTAATGATTTGTTAAATTTATTATTTGATTGCACGCCATCATTGCGACACCACCAGCACATCATTATCATGACGTCACCGTAACATTATCATTGTAGCATCACCGTCACATCATGACATCACCATCACATCATGACGGCATCAACGTCAACAGTTGGTCAGATGATCAGATATCCCTGATGCAGTTGTGGTTGTACGGGGCTTACGTCGTGGCCATGGTTCCCTATGCGATCTTCCTCGATAAGCAGGGTCAGTGTTGTTATGCTCTCTTGTTCCATCCATTCTAATGTTGCTCTTTCTTCTTTTTTTTGTCATAACTTGTATTTTATTTTTATAATAATAAGATTATTTAATAACTAGATTATTTTGTAATAATAATAATTATTATTGTTATAATTATTGCAACAAATAATAATTTTTTATTATTTTTCAAATGTTCTGCATGTTCAGTCTCAGCTGGCAATTGATGATGCTTGATCCTACATTTAATTATTATTATCAATTTTATTGTTTCCATTGTAGGTTTGATTAGCTATGCACAGTTCTTGATTATGATAATTGTTTTCCCATTGAACATTTGTTTATTGGTTTGTTGGTTTGTTTGTTTTTTGGCTTGGTTTGTTTGTTTGTTTGTTTAGCTTTTATTTGCAAAAAACATTTTTGAGAAAAGGGTTTCATTTTATAATGCAAGAAATATTAGTGTCTTTAAAAGTGCCATTAATACAAACATACCTACCTGAAACATTGGCTGATTAGCTATTGTTGAATTATTCTGATTGGCTGATAACTTACCGTTAAATGATTTTGATTTGTCAATTACTTAGTATTACGTAACATGAAATTTTCAAAACATTTAATAAATTACAAATAATCCAAAAGCAAATGTGTTGCATGAAAGGTTTTTTGAAGGTTTCCTTAATGGCATGTAAATTGTGGAATCTTTCCTCTAATGCACAACTCTAACTGGCACAGAACTTTCCTTATAGCTTAACTTTTTTGATCCTATAAAATTCTTTATGTTATCAAGTAAAAGTAGGTCTATGAATAATTTATGCTAATGAAGGCAGTCTTGATTGGTCAATCAGCTAATCAGAATCATTCAGCAATAAATAGCCACTCTGGTTGATGACCAAACCCCACTTGTTTAATATAAACTGATTTAACTTTTTTATTAATCTCCACTTTATTATGTAAATGCACGTGAATCAATGCATCACACACATTGCATGTGATAGTGGGGGATTTTTTGCAATCGAAACCAGCCACTATGATATCAGGGGCAGACACTTTACCTGGCACCATTTTATTGCCTGATTTTCTAATTAACAGTTTGAGATTCTCCTGGTATATGATAGTACATGTTATATGCTGGTTAATCATTAACTGACTGTTTGGTTAACTGATTGATATGTAATTGATGTTGTTGATGTTGTCAACTTTGTTGATGTCGATGTTGTTGATGTTGGCAGGTCTGAGGTACCCGATGCTCTTGACGTGTTTCTTCCTCGTGCTGGGAACTGCAACGAGATGCATCTTCTCCTCGCCTCCTTATGTCTTATGGTGCCGCTTTTTGATTATTAAACTAATTAATTAGTTATTCTACTCAACAACGTTAACATAACATTTCAAATATTCTATATTTTGTTATTTGAATACTTATCCATAATTCAGTTACAACATCTGAATGTTAGTGACTAACCATAAATAATAATCTGACTAATTACAGGTCGGCTCACATTGGTCACTTGTTCATTGGTTTATCTGGACCAATAGCATTCATAGGTGGGCCAATAATATCTTCTCTTTGGTTCCCGGCCAATCAGAGAACGACAGCGACATCAATAGCAACGGTCTCTGGTTATGCCGGTGGGGCTGGCTGCTTCTTGTTTGGTGAGTTGCATCAGTTGGAGGAATGTTTCGAACGTTCTGCCATCTACGCCGGAGTTTTGCACTTGTCAATCACTTAATATCCATTCATCTGTCCACTTTTCATTCATTCATCAACTATCATTCAATATTTTTTACCCTCATTTATTTATCTACCATCCATCTATCAATCAGGTCCAATGCTTGTGAATAGTCCAAGTCAAGTCCCAGTTATACCAGCCAATATAACCACGTTCGTTCGTTTGTTTGTTTGTTCGTTCCTTTGTTCGCTCGTTCGTTCGTTCTTTCATTAATAGTTTTTTGTTCTTTTTTGTTCATTCATTCATACATTTGTTTCTTTGTTTCTCTATGCGTTTGTTTATTTATTTGAACATTTTTCTATCGTTCTCCAGTTGTGTTTTAATGTCCGATTAAGTTTTTGTACCCATTGTATCAACCTATGTCTGGAATGATTTGTTGAGAGGAAAATTATACATGCGTTGTGGTTATTTAATTTGTTTAGCTGACTTCAGTATTTACACCGTATTCATGAGAAAGTTTTTAACTGTACGTGAGTGAAACTTGTTTGTGGCTAGATTGCTTTAAAAGTTAGGGTCTTATCCATTGAAGATATTGACCATAATTGTTGAAATTATTTTCATTAATGAATATTATTTATAATTATTTGAATGAATTATTTGAGTTATTAAACTAAATAATGAAAAGATATTCCAAACAATCTCACACACAGGCCCTCATCGCAACACAACTACACAAGTAATTTTTATATTCTCATGTATTGGTTAACAATATTGAATAGTACTTCGACCATGATTGCTTGCTTTGTTAATCGATCACAGATATTTCTAAATCATTGCAATGCTTAATGTTTAAATTAAACCAATTATATGACCTTCACGCTGTATGTTTCAAGGTGTTGATGTCATAAGAAGCCAGATCATGATGTGTCGATATATAGGTTGGTTGGCTGGCTGGTTAACTGGTTGATTAGTTAATGGTTGGTTGATTAGTTAAGGGTTGTTTGGTTGATTAATTGATGGTTGGTTGATTAGTTGATGGTTGGTTGGTTGATTGGCTGGCTAGTCGGTTGGCTGATTGGCTGGCCAGTCGGTTGGCTGGCTAGTCGATTGGCTGGCTGGTCGGTTAGTCAATTGATTAGCTGTTTTTTTTGGTTTTTGTCTGGTTTATAGTTAATAAAATTTTATATATGACAAGAATTAAATTACACTACTAGTCAGGATTAATTTATAATAAACTTTATTGATCCTTAAATAACCAACCGACGAACCAACTAATGTACGGACCAATGTACAAACCAATGTACGAACCAATGTACGAACGAGAACAGAATGCGCCTTGTGTTTCTTCCTCTTCATCCTGGTCATCGTCTACTTCCCCTCCAAACCCCCCAAGTCACCGACCATCTCAGCTGCCATCGGGAAACTGGACTTCTTCAATGGCATCAAGCACTTGTTTAGGTGAGGTTATTATTGAAATAATTGTAGTAATACTATTAATGGTGAAGAGGAGGAGGAAGATGATGACGATGGGGGGTGGGGGTGGGGATGATGGTGATATCACTTTGATGTCACGAGAAGAGAAGTTTTCTTCTCACAACATTCTTATTCAACGCCTAATATTTATTTATGAAATATTTTCATCCCAAAATCACAAATTTGTTTTGCTAGGCCATTATTCTTCCTGCCTGGAGTTTTTTAATTTATTTCTTTTTTATTTCGATATTTCAACCTCCATACATCAATTTTATTTTCAACCATTCATTCCATCAACCAACAATCAACCGACCGATTTATTAATCAACTAATTGACCAGCCAACCAATCATTTAATCAGTTGATCAATCAATCAACTAACCGATTAACCAACCATTCAGTCGCAAGTTATTGAACTTCTGGTGCATCTGCCTTTCATACTGCATCCCAGTTAGCATCTACGGAGTGTGGGTGGGTCTGCTGGGGGTCAACATTAAGGGCCTTATTGAGGAGGTCAGTTCACTTTCTATGTATGTTTGTTTGTATTTGTTTGTGCTTGTATGTGCATGCTTTTTTGTATGTTTATGTTTCTGTGTGTTCTTTATGTTTGTTTGTGTTTGTTTTTTTTCTGTTTTTTTTTCTATCGAGGTATTTTTAAAAAACATTGTTTTGAACTTGAGTAAGAGCCAGTACGGATTACCTCACTTGAGCATGTAAACTATGAACATATACGCACATGCACACACGCTTGCAGATAATACTAGAAGTATGTACGTACATGATGTTGACTATTATGCTGCTAAGCATACACATAACCACCAACTGAACGTTGAATGTTTTTTGTTTTCAGAGTGAGATTGGATGGCTGGGTTTCTCTGCGATCATGTCCGGATGTGTGACTGGCGTCATTTTCGGCAGGTTGGTCTTCAAATGTTCCTCAATGTACAGGGCCACTCAGTACTTGCGATGACTGCTTCTGTCATGACTGCTACAAAATCTTCACACCACCTCCAGGCTATCGGACATATTTGTGGGGCACATGAAGTCCTTCACGCTTGTCATGATCACCGGATTCATCATCTCCACCTTCTGGTTTATACTCATCTCGCATCAGTACATGCACTTCAGCACCAGTCAGTTGCCACCACTTGTATATTTCTAGACTCTCATCTTGTTTCTCGAAATTATTTTACAAATCATTATAAATTGCTGTTATCACTGTTATGCTTTTTATTTTCTTATAGTTCTTTTACATTATTTTTAGTTGAATAACTGCTGAATCACTCGTTTTGATAATTGAAAGTTTTGTTTAAATGAAATGCATCACCAGCAGTTAAACAATTCTTTTAATGAAAGTTCACACTTATACAATTCACAGTTCAACTCCACGTGGCAGCCGTCCTCCAAGGTGGGTCCTCCTTGCGATTCTCCCTTCCATCTATTAATTAATGCTTTGCTTTTTAATAATAAAATGAGTTTGGCATTTTTTATGTGAAAGAAAATTTTTTTGATTGCTGTTTTTGTGCGTTGTAACCATCTTAATGGGCTAGATGCAAGACCGCGTTCGACATATCTCATTAATATTTCTACATGCTGTAATGCTATTTTTGTTAAAAGTTACTAACTGCATAAAAGTTATCACTGCAAATAACTTAATAGCTGACTGACTGGACGATGTTGATTGCTTAATGATTGAAATGCTAAACAACGACGCCCAGGTCTCTTCAACAATGGAGCGGTCCCCCTCTATTACGAACTGGCCATTGAATCGACCTACCCCATCTCCGAGATATGCATCACGACCGTCATGACTTTCGTTTACAACTTCATTCCACTCTTCTTCCTCTTCATTTTCTTCATTCCAAACGTCGGTTAGTTATTTATTACATCTTCAAGGGATGTCAACTTCTTACTTTTTTATATTCACAAATTTTTTGTGTTGTTAGTAAAAATGAAAACACCAGGTAGGTAATTGTAAAATTATCTCATTATACTTTTTTTGTGCATATTGTGCAGAGAAGTCTGAATCTGAACTCGATCGCTACAACACATTTTGCTTTCTTATGTCTGATGATGTGCCTTATTGAACCGTTACTAAATATTTAATGAATGATGAATAACTTAGGGACGCTATGGATGGATTGGTTGCTGTTTGGTACTGGAATCCTTGCTTTTCCGATCCTGATCTTCTTCAAGGAACTCTACAAGCGATCCACCATCGATCAGGGAGCTGAACATTTGAGGAAAAGTTTTCGGAATGATGACATTTCAATCAATACGGATGGTGATGGTCATGCTGCGGTTACTGCTGATGACAATGACGACAGTCCTCTTTTAAATGTCTGATTTTATGCAATTAATCTTAAGGCCATGTATTATAATTTATATTTTATTTTTTTGATTTTTTAGATCGGGAGATTTTTGTAATTTATGCATGCATTTTATTACTTTTGCGAATATGATCTGCGTGATATTTTTTGGGCCATTTTTTTCTTTTTTAATTTTTGTAATAAAAGCAATTTTATAAAAGATGGATTTGGCTTGAGCGGTGATGTTCGACGTGTGCAAACCTTTTAAAATTCGACTGGATGGCGTATTGCATTGGTTAGAGTCGCACGGTCATATCTCGCAGAGCGGACTCCAACCAAGTTCAAGTACGACGAAAGGACCCAGCCTCTCACGTATTTTGTGTGTGATGCGTTGTTTAGCGCGTGCTCATATACGTTGTGTATTGTTTTTTATAAACTTTAGAAAAATGTACCAGACTAACCTTTTATAAAACACATCGAAGTGATAGTTTGGCCTTTTAGTCTTGACATTTTGGCTCTAACGGAACATTCCGGAACAAGCTATTGTCCAAAGAACTAAACGTAAACGTAGACGATAATTCTTCGAAAATTATTTTCGCACTCGCATTATCTGTCAACTTCTGCAAAAACATTTTTAATTCAGGTTCGTGCTGTTTCAAATTATTTCAATAAATGGCTTTGTTTTTGTAGCAAAACACTAATTTGAAATGAAAGGTATTGGGTAGGTGTTATTTTATTATTTTTGTGTTGCACTGCGAAGGAGCCACCAATCCACGTATGCGGTGCGGTGCGCTTGTTCTATAAAAAATTTTCATGGCTTTTCAATAAAAATTTATGAATTGCGTCCTTTATTTTGTCTCATTTAATTGATTTATAGTCTGCAATTTCAATTAATCGTCATTTGAACAATTGCATTGATTTAATTGAATTTTCATACAATTAATTAATTAAAGTTATTGAAATAAAATAAAAGTAAATTGTAAAAAAAAAAAAGTTTGTTGAAATTTAAAATTAGATAAAAAGTTAACTAAACTTTTTTTAAAGTATAAAACTTAAACCACTCTAGTTTATTTTTATTTGATATTTTGAATTTATATTTATTTATGTCTCTATTTAATTAACTTAATTAAATTTAAATTACTTTGTTTAAAACATTTAAAACTAATAACAACTTACATAATTTTACTTTAGATATTAATGATTTCAAATTTTCAAGATTAAAATTCTTTTGTTTGTTTATTTCATTTGTTTATTTTATAGTTGGGCTGCCTTTAATTAAATCAAATCTGAAAGTAATAACAAAAGGTGTAAAGTTGTTTTGTGATAATAGAAATCATTCAAATTCATTTTAATTAAATTAAGGAAACTTCTTTTTATTCTTATCAAATCCCAGCAAGCACAAGTATGCTTCTATATTATTAATTAAGAATCAATAAAATGATTGTAATTAAAAAAGAATATAAATAAAATATAGATAAAATAATAATGAAAACTGTATGAACAAATTTACTTAGAAATATATAAAATAAATGTATACAAAATGACATTGACTTTGAAAAGGTACAAATTGATCAAAGTATAATATAAAAGTATAATAATAATAATTATTATTTTTCTTTTGTTAATGATTTTTTTATTATTAATGAATAAATATAAAAAATAAAGAATTGATAATAGAAGTTAAGCAGATATTTACCATTGGATGAATTGAATTATAAAATGTTTAAATATTATATTAGTTTAACAAAATGAGGCATATGTTAGATAAATAAATATAATATAAAAAAATGAAATAAAAAATAATAAAATATGAAATAAATAAAAAATATGAAATTAATAATTAAGGTTGGCCTGAAATAAAAGGAAAAGGCAGGATTGTTCAGTCATGCTTGAGTTAAAAATGGCAATAATTAAGTGCATTGTTGAGGTGCCTATATATGCCTGATAATAGAATTGATTGATAAGGCTATTGAACCTTTACAGCCAGCTAACAGGCCTAATCCTGTAGATATACAATACATAATTAAATCATTAGGTATAATTTTTTTCACATTTTTGGGATCAATTTCTTACTCTAACACAGTTGGTTGTATAAATGAGTGCTTGGTCTTATGTACGGCCAAACTGAGTGTGGAATGTTAAATAGAGATGTATATACATAGTGATGAAGTTGACAGTTTGACTTGCCATGATTATAATTTATTTTGTGGCATCTAATTGAGCATGCTTCAAGAAAGAACTAAAGAACTAACACCACATATTTTTCTCAGCCAATCAGAACCAACACCACATATTTTTCCCTGCTAACCAGAACCAACACTGCCAACTAAGTAATCACATACCTCAACATGTTGGCTTACTTAACCATCAGTTAAGTTAGCCAACATGTTGCCTCCTGCCATCAATCAACAGTAATGCAATGCAATGCAATGCAACAGACATTATTGATTTTTATTTCATAACATCTATGTACCTGCCACTGTGTTGTTGCTTCACAACTTAACTTGGCCTTCTTGATATGTTTATTCATGCATAAATCGACATGTGGGTATTTACAGTTTTAGATATATATCCCTGTGAAACTCATCAATTTTTTGGTGTATTCATTTTGTACATGAGTAACTAATCCAGTCAACTGGGTGATTTTTTCAATTCTTTTATATATTAATTTGGTCATGCTCTGATTGGTGCAATATATATATATATATATATATATATACATTCATTTCATTGTACGTATATATATATATATATATATATATATATATATATATATATATAAACATTATTTATATAATCATAGGAAAAAATATGCATGTGCATTGTTGCTCAATTCTGAGTGTTTGAAAAAACATACATTCTTTTGTTGTTGGTCAATAGAATTGAGCTTCTTTATAGCTTTCCTTTTATATAATATATTAAATTGTGGTTGTTGTTATATGGTTGTTTTTTAATTTGTTAAGAATGTAATTTAACTGCAGTAATAGTTGTAGCAATAGTAATCATAATAGTTGTTTACTAGACAGTATTGATTATAATGTGTTATTGATATTGACAAATTGTTTGCAATATGTAGTATACTTTAAAATTTTTTAATTATAAATAAATGAATATTTATTATTATTATTTTAACTTTCTAGCCATGGCTCTAACTGATAAACAAATGAGAGAATTGGTTTGTTTGCTTTTTTATTTTAAAAATCATTCATTTATTCATTCGTTTTTCATTCATTCATCATTCATTCATTCATTCATTCATTAACTTATTCATTCTTTCATTCATTCTAGTTTTGATTACACTCAGGTCAATCATTCATTCATAAATTCTTTTTGATTCACTCATTTGTTTTATTCCTTTTTTAAATATCTAAACAAATTTACATTATCTGTTCATTTTAACCTTCTTTTCAAATCATATTAATTCGTATTAGTTGTGTGCCTCCTTTAAGATATTTCATTTGATTTTGTAATAATTAAATTTGTTTTAACATTTTAAAAAAAAACCTTATTTATTGAGGATGATATAAACTGAAAGATGACTCTTAAAAAATCTGCCTCACTGCATAGAATATTGATTTATTTCGTTTTATTTCATTTTATTTTTGATATATTTGATTTATTTTTAGATCAAGAAAGTGCGTGAGTGTGCTCCCAACATGAGTTCCAATGACATAACCCTCATATTAGAGTACTTCAACTATAATGTCGACCAATCCGTCGCCTCCATACTTGAAAGTTTGTTGTGGTTGTTGTTAATGTTGTTGCTGTGGTTTTTGTTATCGTTGTTGAAAATAATGATGTCATTGAACGTTGATGCTGTTGTTGTGAATGTTGATGTTGTTGTTGCTGGCAATGTTGGTTTCACCATTGTTGTTAATGTTGTTGATATGGTGTTTGCCATCAATGATGCTGATGTCATCGTATTTTGTTGTTTTTTAATGTTGCTGGTGGGTGCTGTTGACGTTATTGTAGTTAATTAGTTGTATTTTTGTTTTTACTGTATGTATGTATATATATAACATTAAGCATGGCCCACATAAGAATATATATGTATGTAAGTATGTATGAATGTATTTATTGAAGTATGTATGTATGTATGTATATACGTATGTATGTATGTATGTATGTATGTATGTATGTATGTATGTAGGTAGGTAGGTAGGTAGGTAGGTAGGTAGGTAGGTAGGTATGTAGGTAGGTAGGTAGGTAGGTAGGTAGGTAGGTAGGTAGGTAGGTAGGTAGGTAGGTAGGTAGGTAGGTAGGTATGTATGTATGTATGTATGTATGTATGATAGTTATTTTATTAAGCAAAGAATGTGTGCATGTTGTTTGCTTAATGCATATGTTATATCTAGTTCTCTTGTAATAAATGAGGATGGTTATCTGTTATCTCACAGGATGAATTGAATTGTAAGGATTTGAGATTGTTTTCTATTTAAGTATTCTATTTTCTATTTAACTATTTTACGACAAACTTTTTAAATTAAATAATAATAATATAAAGGCAAAATGGCGCTTGATAAATGAAGTGATGAATGTTAAAAAGCAGACCACTCGAATTGACCATTTGAAGTTAAATGATTGCACAATCTCCGATAAAAAAGAGATTTGTAACACACTCAACCGAAATTTTATTGATACGATAAATTCACTCCAAGGCGGATTTAACCAGAATTTGCAGCATGAAATGTTTTCAGATCAGAATATCAACACATTCTACATAGATGAAATCAATACTGCTGAGTTGTTCAGCATTGTCAATTCCTTCAAACCTAACAAATCCACGTCTGATGATGGTTTCAATATGTTTATGGTCAAACTGTTTGTGGACGAAATCATTGTTCCACTAAAGCACATATGCAACCTGTCTCTAAAATCGGCAACTTTTCCTGATCGGTTCAAATTAGCCAAAGTTATTCCAATACATAAAAAGGGAGATAAAGGAGATGCTGGCAACTACAGACCAATTTCTTTGTTGTCTCCATTTTCTAAGATTCTCGAAAAAATAATGAGTGTTAGAATGATGACCTTTCTCAACCGCTTTAATATCTTATCCAGCAATCAGTACGGGTTTAGAAACGCTCACTCGACAGAGTTGGCAATTGTTGAGCTTACCCATCGTATACTAATGAATATGAATGATAGATACGTTATGATGGGCATTTTCATCGATCTGTCGAAAGCTTTTGATCTGATCAATCACTCGTTGCTTCTCAAAAAGTTAAATTTTTATGGTTTTCGTGGAAAAATTAATCAATGGTTCAGGAGTTATCTGGAAAATAGACTGCAATACGTTTGGCTGGAAAATCATGTCTCGGATGTCTTGCCTTTGAACTGCGGAGTCCCACAGGGTTCCATACTCGGTCCATTACTTTTTATCATTTTTGTTAACGATTTACCAAATGTTTCATCTGCTTTTCGCTGTATTTTGTATGCTGATGATACTAACATATTTTATTCATCGAAAAATCTTATGAATGAAAAATTACTTATAAATAGTGAAATGATTAAATTTGAACATTGGTTTAATATAAATAAATTATTAATTAACACAAGTAAATGCTCTTATACTATTATGGGTCCTAAGATTGTAACTAACACTATTCCTGATTTAAATATTAACATATGTAACCACGCAATAAAAAAACTTGATTCGATAAAATTTTTAGGTGTTTATTTACAAAGTAACTTATTGTGGAATGATCACATATTAGATATCACTTGTAAAACCAATCGATTTCTTTATATAATTAACAGGATTAAAAATAAACTTAATAAAAATACACTTGTTATTCTATATAATAGTTTCATTCTACCTTATTTATCTTACTGTAATATCATTTGGGGTAATAGCCCGTCGTATATTGTTAATCATTTATTTATTATGCAAAAATGGTTCATTAAAATATATTATAATTTAACCTTAATGTCTCATGTTGATCATTTGTTTTTAAAATTAGACATTTTAACAGTTAAACAATTGAACATTTATTATTCATCGATCTTTATGTTTAAATTGATTAACAACTTATTACCTAATTATTT